ATAGTCGATGGTGTATTTGAATTATATTAAAATAGATTCCCTACGATGCTGCGTTGACGTTATATCAGGATTCATTACAAAATTATTGCCTTTTCTTTGTCAAAGTCAAAATTAAATCTTGGATTAGATATACAACTGATTATTCAACTGTGTGACATAAAATATATAAATTTCTATTGTAATTTTATTGTTAATTAACAGATTCGTCAGTGAATCTAAGAAAAATATTTCCTTAATAAACATTAAATATGTAGAACATTTTATGCCATATCTCTTCAAACTTTAAAATTTAATGATCAAATTTCAAATAACATTCATTTAAATAAAATTTTTTTCTGGACAAGTAAATATTAATACACTACAATCAATTTAACAGTTGTCAACATTAACAGTTGTATTAATAATATTCATAATCAAGAGATTAAAAGGTACCTCTCAAAAAAGTAACCGATTAATAAAGTGAAATTAATGGTTATTATATACATTGCGTAAATCAATTAATATTTTACAACTTGTACTGCCAGTTCACCGTGTCGTTTAATCATTCGTTTCAGTTTAATTATAACACTTGATGTTTACAACTGTATTCGATAATGTTTTTAATTACTTTCCGCATCTTTCCGCTCGAATCAAAATTATCAATTATTCGTCATGGTTTTAGTTGTAAACTGACGGAAGGTTTTCACGCAGGTGTGATCGATAACAAGTAAGTGTGAAGAACAGACGAATAAACAAGGATCCAATCAGCGTCATTATATATTATACACATTACACAGATCATATTATGGTCATTATATACATTATTATATCATCATATTATTTTATGTCATCGACATACGCAAGTTACTTGCTTCGCAGTTATGCGATCAGAGTTCTGCTGTTACGTAGACGACGTATCGACGCAGACAATATTGTGTAGATGTATCGTGAATTCCATCCGATTGGTATGCATGCGCGTCGCGCTCCGTTCGAGAATCAAACTGTGACGGAATCACATCTCATTTGAGAATATTTTGTACGTCGATGTTAAAAAGATGGATAGATCAATTATTAATATTCTAGGGCAAGCCCTCTAAGAAATAGAGAAAAAGAAACAAGCGAAAAAAAAAATTAAAAAAATAGAAGAATATCTAGATTGTAACGAGTGTAAATTGCATTATGTGATCGAATAAATGTCGTTTGATTAAAATAAATGTTAAAATATCGTGTAGTTAGAAACAATTAAAGCGTCTTCAATCTCCGATTCGATTCTCTTTCGTTCCCGATAATTTTCGATGAGCTAGTTCGCGCAGCGGACGTTAGATTGTTTCAAGATATAAAAATATAAAGTAAAAGAATAATAATGATAATATTAAAGAGAGAAAAAGAGAGAGCAGTTTGACATAAAAAATTTAAGAGTTTGAAAAATCAATATGATTATTAATAAAAAAGTTAGTAATAACTATATCTCTTTATTCAAGCTTGAATCATTCCATCAAATAAAGAAGAAATTGTGCAGCAAAGTCGAATAATTCTGAAAAATTTTGATCATTTTAAATTTTAATTTAAAAGATTTGAGATAAAATTTTTAAATATTGTTTTAATAATCGTCGGTGATATCATTTTGGCCTCCGTTAATCATTTCAATTTTTTTCTTTTTTGTATAGATATACAATGTATAGACATATAATACAGAATATTGAAAATGTGTAAATACAATGGAAATAATTCTAAAAATGATAAAAATAATAGCAAAATAATTTTTCACTAACCAAAAACAATTATAGGAAATTAACAAATTGGCATCTTCAGCAGTTATTGCTAGAGCACCTTAGGTGGTTTTAATATTCGAAAATACGAATATTGATTCCGTGCAAATAAAACCGAAAGCAAAATCGAAGCAAAAACAAGTCGATAATTATTTTTGTGGAAAAAAATGATTCCGGAAATACGATACACTGTTCCTTCGGAGATGATGCCGTCGCAGAGTTCATTTTCGCACGACGTTCTTGAGCGCAGTCGTGGAATATTCAGCCGTGCTCGAATATCGGGCCTCTCACGCGAACGGGATGCAAATCGTAAAACCGCTTATGAGACCGAGGGTGTGATGCCGCCGCAAAAGAGAAGAAAACGAGGCGTGACGGTGAAGAGAGAACCGGGATGGGAAACGAGGGATCGCGCGGGGAGGTCGACGCGATTCCGCCCACGAAAGGATGCATTAAACCTCGACAAACGTGCGCGCGAGGGTCGTGAAAGCGCGATTTACACCTCTCCGATCCACCGCCGATCGACCGCCCGCACCTGGGCACCTGAGAAGGGCGATGAATCGAATACGATTATCGATGCATCGCGAATACACCCGTTGCGCTGTGTCGCCCGATAATAAATTCTCGACCTTCTCGGATTAAGAGCAGCGAAGAGGAGACGAGATCTCACCTCCTCGTCCTCCTTGGCAATGCTTATAAACGATTCCTCCGGAGAGGAACCTGCTGTAGAGCGAAGCTCTTTTTAGTTCGAGGACGTATACACGAGCCGGCGCCTTCGTAAGGTTTGCATTAAACTCGAGGAGTGCATTCTTTGATGAAGTTGCTCGACGGATTTTCCCCGCTGAATATTTGATCGCGTCTTTTCGCCTGACTCCTGAATTTTCGACACTAAATAGCGTTTTTATACTCTTTCGTTATCATTCTTTTTTTGTGGGATATATGCTACTATACTGAGAAAAGTGGTCTTGGATTAAATAGTAATTCTGGTGGAAAATGAACGAATCAGAATTTTCTGGTTAAATCTACTAGAATTCCAGTTGCGATAACTAGAATTCTAATTGATATAATTATTTTAGTAAAAATAAAAATTCTAATAGATTTTATCAGAAATATTGTATCAATCGGAATTCCGGTTATCTCAATTATTAGGTGTTGGAATTAATTCGTAGCGTTTTACAAGTGATGGGAAGTACTTTCATTAATGTATTTTTTAATGCTCATGTGAAATAAATAACATTCTTTCATTAAAAAACGCTACGAATTAATTCCAACACCTAATAGAATTCTAATAAATTTAACCAGAAAATTCTGATTTGTCCATTTTCAATAAAAAATTTTTTTTCAGTGTAATGATGAATAAATTAATTTGTATTTACTATTAATACACAAAAAAATTTATAAGATTTATAAGATTTGAGAGAATAAATAGGTAATAAGATTTTCTTATTTAATTAAAAGGACTTATTTTCAACCACTTGTAACTAGAAAGTTATCATTTCGATATTCAATTTGAAATGAAGTCGAGACTTCTCAAGGAAGCTCGTATATCTATATAATGATGTCCTTTTGTAAAAGGAGACGTTATTAGCTGAAGGGTCTCCACATTTCTCAATAATACCGGAGAATGCAACTTCTATGAGATAGTTGTATTATCAAATACAAATGCTTTATCAAATACAAATTGACACATGCGCAATACAAAGTTGAACCGCCGATTAAATAGACGTCCCGGAAATGGGAGCTATTTCCGATATCGAAAAAGACGTGAGCTCGAGATTTCGGTGGCATTAGACGCGACACGAACGTCGATTGGCCGGGAACGCATCTGAGGATCGTCTTTACTACAAGGCAGCTCGTTTCCGAACGTCTTTTCTCGGTGCTCGCCAATAAACGGTCCGGTTGCTTCCTCCAGGGCGCAAAGTCGTTCCGACAAATGGAACCTCTCATAGAGAAAATTGCAATGACAATCATAAAGCAATACGAGGGAAAAATTGAGCTTCGTAACGCTGTCGTCATTCTTGTAAAACTCTTGTTAAGACCAAATACTTTAATACTCGCAGTCGTCATACATGTTCGGTCATACTATATCGATATCAATATTGACGGAAGAAGAAAGAAAGAAGTAAAGAAAAACTTCCATTTATATAAATTTTAATTATAAGAATTTGAAACTATTTATAAAAAAGAAAGCCGTATAAAACAATTTTTTAAATTTTATGTACGTATAAACATGAGATAGAAAAATTAGTTTGTTTTCCAGTGCAATTGAAAAATCAATAATTGAAAAATGTAACAAATTTATATCGTTTAATATTTTCTTTTATCTTTTTACGGACGTAAGTAAATTATGTAAACTTTCCTTATAAGAGAATGTTCGTTAAAGATAAAAGAATTCTCATTTAAGTTTTCTTTTGTGTTGCATAAGGGCTAATTCTAAAGAAACTTTCGATAGCATTTAATATTATATGGACTTATCTATCTCTCTCAATCTATCATAATATCACGGCGCAGCGAGGAGGATATAAATCAAAGTTTTCGCATTCGCTCGCTGCCGCAAGGAAACTTTAAGTTTCGTGCTTAATTTAAGTTTGCATATTACACCCAACAACAAAATATCAATTAATTCTTGCGAAACTCGTAGTCCGTTCGCAAATATTATCTCTCTTATCAGCCCATCGAGATGTATCATAAGTCACGAATTTCGTATCTACGCGCATCTAGCCTCATGTGTACCTAACATATTAAAAATAAATTCCATCTCTTTCTCTCTAACAATTACTCGCTGCCCGTCTACCTTATGAAAATCACGTAGTGAATTTCGTATATCAATTAATCTTCGCTCGATCAACAAATTTTTTCTTCTCTAAAAGAGAATTGCGTAAACACGAAACAAATAACATTTCATCGATAACCGCTGTTTCTTTTTATTTTAGTCCATTTTTTAATTCTAAGATCGTTAATCATGCAGTTTTTAAATTTGATAATTCTAAAATCCGCAAACACAATTATGTACATACATAATTGCAGAGTTTACGCGATTTTGCTTTTCCGCACGAGCGAAAAATAATCCCTCGCGTGTTAAAAATTCCGAGTGTCGGCTCCTTAAAGTAGCTTTTCGATCCGTATGTAGCCGGTTCAAGGATATCGATCTTGGATTTATTTCCGCAAAAAGCAAAAGATTGGTATTCATATCAGGGAATACACTTCGGGGGTAAGCGGCTTTCTGTGTAAGTAAGAATGGAGTAAGGTACTCACGTTAGCGGTGTCGTCGAGTTTCCGCTTCCACGCATCGCTACGTTCGATTAAAGCGTTCCACTGCTCGGAAAGTTTATTCACTTCGCGACGAATGCTCCGCGTCAATTCGCGCGCCTGCTCCTCGGCGCTTCTGTAGCCTCTGGAATCACCGTCCAATTCTCTGCCTGCTATAGAAAAAGCAAACAAAAAATAAAACGTTAAACGTTTTCACAGGACAAACCTGCATAGTTCTAGTTTTCATTCCATCTCTAAACTTTTGTTATTTCACATATATATATATTAGTGTTTTATCGAATAGAAAATTGTTTCATAATTAAACATCAAAGAATCTCGCAAAACGTGAAAAATTAGATCCCGGTGAAGTAAAACAGTTCTCATATGTGATATGGCTTATAATGTGAAGAGATGTCACAGACAGTGAATAGTTCCAATGGCTCAATAATGGATAATTTAATAATATTTATTAAATTACAATAAATTAAGCTGGACTTTCTTACGTTCGTACGTTACATAGATATGTAAGAAACACTAAATAACTGTATAACAATTCACACCACAAACGACAGAGCTGACGCATGCGAATTGCGAATAAAGGACTCCAGAAAACAATAATACAATAAATAACGAAATAATGGCTAGGAGTCAGCGCGGTAGACGATGTGCAAAATCAACAAAGTATTGAATAAAATTATTTAAAGTACAGAAATCAACTTAATCTTACATATGAGTCTCTTAGTTGACAAGCTTAGTTGACAAGCTTAGTTGGCATAAGTCGAAAATTAGGAAAAATGCGTTTGTATAGAAGTAGATAAAAAATATTAAGAATGTTTGTTTTTTTTATCTATCAACTTAATTTACTTTTATTTTATTTTTATGTTCATAAAAAATAAAAATCAATTTTACATCATAAATAAAGCGACCGTAAAAATAGTGTATCTGGAATAGTGACTTAAGTCCAGCTTTTTTTACGATCACTTTATTTATGATATAAAATTGATTTTTATTTTTTATGAACATAAAAATAAAATAAAAGTAAATTAAATTGATAGATAAAACAAACATTTTTAATACTTTCTATTTATTTCTATAACAAACGAATTTTTCCTAATTTTGGACTTATACCACTTGTCAAGTAAGAAGCTCATATGTAAAAACTAATTTAATTCACTCAATTTTCCATATAATTAGTGCGAGGCCCTTTTTGTTAAAAATATTACAAAAATAAGCAATTCTTCACGTGACAAAACTTTTCTGCCTACGTCCCTAAAATAATATTATATTGCATCATATTCAAAGAAATGAACCGAAGATCACGTCTTTCCAACGTAACGTTACGCCGACTTTACGTTCAGTAAATACGAGTGTATATTCGTCAAAGGAGCGAAGAGAGATCGAATCAACCGAATCGCGCAAAAATGCACGTATCTTTTTCCTGATTTCTCAATACTGTCGGTCGATAAATATATATATTCAAGCGGCGGAACGATTAAACACTGATGCGCAGGATGAATCGCGGCGAAGGCCAGCTGGGAAACATCGCGAACATAAATCAACATAACACTCGGAGATAGGGAGTCAGCGAACAGGTATATAGGTACAGAATCGCCGTTATCAATGCTAAACATGCACATAAAAACTGTCCACCGCATGATACGATGCGTGATTCATAGGACAATTAATTCCTGATAGGCTCGGGATAACTTGAGCCCGAGTTCGCGCTGTTTCTACGCTTCGTTACGTAGGTTCCTGGATGACGTAGAAAAAACCAAGCATAAAAGGGTTCCTTGCGAATCTTGATAGTCGCCAATAATCCATGCGTTACCTCAATACTTTTACGGGTTTCCGTTTCAGTGAGATATACGCGCGGTAGTAAATTTCGCGATAAAGGAGCGCCGATGATATTAAAAGACGGGAAAAACGATTTGCGTTCAGAATGAAATGTCAGGTGCGGCCGCGATTATCTTCCGCGTCACGTGGCATTGATCGATCAATCGGGGAAACGACTAATGGATGACAAGCCGCAGAAAAGCATGGCGCATGTCCGTTGAATGTGGAAAATGAGAGTAATTTGTTGCGATAAATATGCGCGTATGTTGCATCGCAAACACGCGATGCTTCCTTTCTGTGCTCTCGATGCATCTGTATAATAATTGATAGTCATTGTTTCGATGGCATAAACGAAGATTGCAAGTAAAAGATTGCAAGGTTGTATCAATCCTTTATAATTTATTTTTCTTTATTTTTTTTTTCGTTACAAATATTCCATCAGTCAAATAAATTGGATCCGTATTGCTTTCTGTGTCACTGATATTTTAAAAGAAATTTTAATTCAATCAAAATCTCAAATATTAACCACGATAAAATTTATGATGTCTTTTAAGTCCCTGTAATTTTTTATCGATGCGATTTTTAGAGTTTTAATGATAACATGATAAAATTTATCGGAGACCTACAACCGTTTTTCCGGGTAGATAACTCGATGCTGCACCATTAAGCTGTCGTTCGAAAACGGTAAAACTTGCGGTGCCAAAGAAATCAGAGAGATAGAGAAACTTTTTATTTCGTATATCTTTGAATGATTCGAGCCACTTCCGATAAGAAATGCGTGCGATCTAACGTTTTATTTCTACGCCATCGGATACCGATCTTCCTCGCCGAGATCGACAGGTGGAATGGAATCGTCGGACTGGTGATGTAGCTTCTCCGCGATACAAAAGGAGGGGCGGTGTCGAAAAGCTGATTCAACCGTGGAAAACAACAAGACGGATCGAAAGAAAAAGAACGTCTCCGAAAGTAGTCTGTTGAACGAATTGAATTAGGCGACCGTGCTCTTCGTCTCTAAACCATCTATTCAACAGTTGACGCTTTACTTTCCGAGCACGTACGCCACTAGTTTATCTAGCTTCCACTTGCTGACTTCCCACCCTCATCTCTATCCACATCCCTGGAATGTCCCGCTAATTCTTTCCTCCATCGCCGCCACGTCCAGATTTATCAGGAAATGGGAAATGGGTGACTGCGGAAGTAACGGCGAGATTTCTCCAATGAACGTAAATTCCACCGCTGCTATCGAGCCATATGAATAAAAATGGATAAAAACGAAATGCAAAATTGTACAAAAAATTTCATTCTATTCTACGTATTAGCAAACTTTATTGTAAAGTCTAACAGTTTCCAACTAAAGGATATAAAAAAGAATAAAATGAAACGCTCATTTTTATTTTTCAATATAAAATTACCCTTTATATAAAATCACTTTTTAGAACAATAAATTGATTTTTATTTTTTATATGATTTAATATAATCATCATTTATTTTAATACATTTTTTTTTTAAACTCTACCTTAATTCTTCTATTACTAAAAAATATTCTAAATTTTTGTTTTTAAAACGACTTAATTAAAAATATTATTTCTTCATCATTGGTAAATTTTTTTTACGCAAATTGGACTTCAGTTTTCAAAATAAAAGTTTTATTTATTCATTTATTCATTTTTTTTTATTTTAAAAGTTGAAATCAAATTCGTGAAAAAGAATTATTTGTGATGAAGTAATTTTCGCAACTTTAAAGCAACTTTTAAGGGAAAAAATTCATTTAAAATATTGTTTTAATAATATAGAAAATTAATTCATTGTTCTAAAAAATAATAAATAATTATTAAAAATAATAATTAAAATGTAATTATATATACTCTGACAAAAATAATTATTTCATCTTATAACCTTTTATATATCTTTCAGTTGAAAACTTTCGGATCTTATTACAGTAGCATAAGTATAATTTATATCAATTAACTCTTATAATTTATATAATTAATTTATATAATTATTTATAAACATTATCGAATAATGAGTATAATATTACAAATGGCAATTTTGATTTATTTAGTTTTGAAAACTATTTTCTGAGTTAATATTCTAAGAAATAATTTGATTAAAATGTACATATATGTCACTCAAAATAATTATAGGATTAATTTTCTTCAAAAGTCCATAATAGCTAAATATATCTGACATCTTGAAGATTCCTCTCATGTTAGAACTTAATTTTTACATTGAAGCCTTTTTAATCCACTGGAATTTAATTTAAATCTTTCAAGGCAATGTGATTTTCTGAGTATAATTGAAGATTTCTGTTTTATTTGACAAAATTTAACAATATTACAAAATTACATATTTCTAACTACAAGCTGACATTCAGAAAAGACAAATTGGTTCTCAGTCAACTATTTTCTGCTTGATCAATCATTCTAGAAAGAAATTATCGATGTGTGCATTCTGCTTAGACGTATACCTAAATTGGCTTAAATTCATAAATATAAACTACACTATTAAAAATAAAATATTAATTTTAACTTAAAGACGAATTTTAACTTATAGTGGACTTTTTGAGATATGCAAACGTGTTAAAATTAATACAAAAATTCTAATTTTAACATTTTTGTATGTCTCAATTATACGTCTAAAGTTAAAATTAACATTTTATTTTTAGCAGTGTGTGTAAAGGTATACGTAAAGTGTAAAAATAGATAACCCAAAAACATGAAGACTATATCAAATTTTTTTCAGTTTAAAAGAATTTATATTGCTAGAACACATCGAATTTTCACATCACTTCATTTTGTAGCATTCTATCGAGATAGATTAAAGGCTTTTATTGTTGCAGTGATTCTTAAATAAAATAACAATCCAAATACTTTATCTTATTGTAAAACTTTCCGCGATATAAAATAGTAAGTTGAATCTAAAGTTAACAAAAATAAAAGCCGATAAGCTTCGCAAGAGTCCGAAATTTCTGTGCTCCAATCGGGGGCTGCGAACCCCGTTCGCGGATAATCCATCCCGACGAAATTCAACGTCGATATTGTATAATCCGGCCTTACGGCGCGCGCGATGTTATTTCACCAGAAATTTATCGACGGGAGCCGCCGGCCTGGTTACACCCGATGCCGCGCACGTTTCGCGAAACGTGACTACCTACGGAATGAGCGAAATCGCGCGCGGCCGTCGTTGGAGTTGCTCGCTCACAGGAGCCCTTCCACGTTATTGGGATCGAACTCGTTTTACGCAAAGCGAAAACATCATTATGGTTATTCCGGGATCTTACGTCGGATATTACACGCAGCATGGTGAATGACAATGACGCGATTTCGGCCGCAATATCGTAAGTATATATGCATATAAAGAATGAATCTTGTATATATGAAGTGGAACAACAACTTATACTACTCATTCGAGCAAAAAGAAAATAGTTGTCGAATTATGAATGTACAATATTGAGAACAATATGATAAAATGTATAATATATTGTAATATAATTGTTGTAAAACACGATTATTTTTTAATCGTGTAATATCCGACGTAAATGATTGAATAAAGTACGAAATGTACTACAAAAAAATGTAATTGAATATATGTATCTGTTAACAAATTTAGAACATATATATTAATGTAGAGAGATTTACAAATTTTCATTTCTTTTGATATTTAATTTTTATTTAATTCATTCAACTTATGCGTTTAATTTATTTTATTTCATTCATTTATAATCTTTGTTTACAATTTAATTTTAAACCTTCTCTCTAAAACATATTCAGAAATTTATTTACACATTTAGAAATAGTGTGTTAGTGTAAATAATGTAAATTAATGATAATATATTAATTTCACAATATTAATATAACATCGCATCGAATATAGCCTGTTATATGCATAATAATAACATTGACGAGTGAGTGTGAGCGAATACGTTTGAAAAGTAATTAGACCACGTTTTGACAGAGACTAATGAACTTACCGTCGAAACTTGCTTAAATTATTATCATCGGTTGTTACTGTTTATTCGGCTATTTCGATATTTTGCATCAATTGCACGACATTCTGATAAACGATAATAACTATCGTACATTGACGTAGATACATGTATGTTCATTCAAAGGGTATCGAATAATATTCTAATGAAGATTAACGAACGATTCGCACATCACTAATTGTGTACACAAATACCAATAATCTTCTCTTTCCGCTATTCTCGTTATCGAAAAATACATAAGGTTATAATGGAAACATTATACAATGTTCTCGCGGATTCCGTAAACATTCGGTCATTAATAATCGATTGGAAACATAAAGGAAGTTGCAACGGAAACTTTACTTTTATATTTAAAAGTTGAGTTTGTTAATAGCAACCGCGGCACAATAAACGTGAAATAAATATTTTTTATTGATTAATCAATTAAATAATAACACAAACTAGGAAAGGGAACATAAGACCAGGTCATGCTTTCCTTAGGGACTTAGTAAATTTCAAGTTTTCAGTCCCCTCTCGGGAATGTCTCTTCTAAAACCCCCTACTGTCAATTGGTATCGATGTACTACGATACTTCTAATTCGATTGAAAACCCCACGTGGAGCCACGTGACTCGCGACAGAGTTACATTTACCTATAATCGAAGTAAATTTTTTTCTAGCTGACACAGCACAAATAAATTGCTTTATCATGGAAAAATTGAATAAACACATTGTAAATATATTTATAAATACAGTGGAGAATTTTTCAATAAAAAGCAAAAAAGAAGTTCATTTATTTATTCGTTTCAGAATTATTATGAAAGAAAAATATAAATAATTCTTCTCTATTCCTTTAGTTTTTGCATGTATAAATATTTTCTAGATATAATAAGACATTCTCAAAGTGGCTTTGACTTAAAATAAATAAAACTGTCTTTTTATAGCCATGTAGGTTACAACATGAAATAATTTATTTTCTGACCGATAAAAAATACAGAATGAGCGCAAGAAAACTAAAATTATTCTTGATCAAATTTTTATTATGTCATATAAGATGTAATTCGCGATATCCGAAAATGTAAATAAAATTATTGGAAATAAAATTTCTGCGCATTAAATTGCAAATAAATCAAAGAAATCGAATTTATCTCGATGTATTATTTAGTGTTTCCCTTCATTTTTCCCGTTCTTTCTCAATCAGAGACGACGCAACATGAATAAAACATCTCGTCTAAATTTTCCAACTTTCGGAATTGCTGATACAGAACGAAAACACTAGAAAGTGTACACTTGTAGCTGATTTTGAAACCCTTCATATCGGTTCCCGATAGAGTTGCGTTAACACAGCCCACTAGAAGTTTTATCTCTGAATCGAATACTTGAAACGATATTACGATACAATACGATATCATACAAAAAGAGAATTGTTCGCAATAGTTATATAAAGAATACTAGTGTAACGTACGTTACATCATACAAAGGATTATCCCTCGATATAAATAACAAAAAGAGAATTGTAAATGAAATATTAAAGCTAAAATTTTTTATATATTCATTTATTTTCAACAAAATATAGGATTTTCCTCACGCAACTGGTCAAAACATATCTTTGTAGCTAAAAATCATTAATCATAATAATAAATATCCGAATCTTATCCTGGGAGGGGAGCTATTAATCTATATTTCTTAATTTCATAAAATTTTAATTAATAGAGATTTTTATATTTTTGCGCATAGTTCTGCATGTATTTTTGTATTTTCACGTATTCTGTACATACACTCACTACGTGAACGTGTTTTTGTCATGTATTTTGATTTTGTCAGTCAGAGTTGTTAGTAAGTGAATAAAGAAAGGTGGGGACTGTAGTCTACAGAGAAAAGAAAGTTGAAGCAAATATGAGGACGGAGAATTAAGTTTAAGTTGCGATACAATAGTCTCACTTTCTTTCTTTTTTCTTTTTTTTAAAAGCATACGCTTTTAAAAAAATACTACGCTTTTCCTCCTTTTTCCCCTCTCTTTCCCATCATTGTTTTTTCTTCGTAGGTTTATGATTGACGTGCAGAGAATTACTTTTCACTGCAAATTCACAGAGTAAATAAACATACAGTTTGTTCAATAAGAACGTGATGCTCATTATGTTCAATAAGAACGTGATGCTCATTATTCTACAAAGAGCGACCGTAGCGATTTCCTGAACTCGTTTGAACCTTTATTTCGTGCTCTTTTGCGCAATATATCCTACCAGCACATTGTGTAGTTTACGTCAGCGAATTTATTATTTTTACAATGAGTGCCAAATTCTTGAAGCGGTACGAGGCAGTGTTTTTAGTGAATGGAATGGCCGGCAATGTCCCCAGATGCTAATCCCATTGAAAATGTGTGGTCGTACATGAAGATGAAACTCAAAGGAAAGCCAGTGTACACGGTGGAGCAGCTGTCATTTCAAATTAAGAAGATATGGCGATCTTTGCCAAAGAAATATGCAGATAACCTCGTCGAAAGTATGGAAAAAAGGTGTCATGCAATAATCAGTAATGGAGGTGATTGGACAAAATAGGATAGGTAATTGCGCAATAGCTAATAATGTGTACTTCAAAAAATAAAAATAAAAAACTGTCTAAATGTTTATAGTTTTTTGATTATGGCAGACACTTTCTTATTGAACAGACTGTAATTCTTTTATCTCGCATCAAATATCTACTGAGTTTTCTTAATATCCGTGCTTTCGGCGAGACAGGATTACGTAAATGAAATATTCAGGGCGTCGCAGTTATGCGTTCCTTGCCCTTACCGTGCTTGAAAAGGGAACGACAGTAAAGAATGAAGCTCGTTTCTGGTCTCGCGGGTTAGGCTGCAGAACCGAGAGCAGCAAAAGAAAGAAAACGGAAAATATTTCTCCGCAGTCTTTCAGACGGGGAATTTCAGTGCAAGCACAATCGGCAGTTGTTCTTGGATTCTTGCCGTGGCACAAAATTCTCAACTGGCGCAGAAATTCATGAGAAAATGTGTGAATTATTAAAATACAGTTCGCAAGTTTGTACGCGGAGAAAGAAGAAGGTTAAATGAGATTTTTCTCATATTCGCGCGACAAGATCAACTGATCATCCATTTTTATCGCGTAAGACTTTATTAACTTCAGCAAAATATCATTATCGATTGAGCTCGGAGAGAGAAACATAAAGAATTTTCTTTCAATCGTTTCGATGATCGATTCCTTCATATCGTCTACGTAAAATATTTTCTAATTACACATACGTTAATTAAAAATCAAGAGAATTAATTCTAAATATTGCGGATAAGTATCCTTTTACAGAAGTAACGTTCACCAAGAACAATTATCGATAGCAAGACAATAACAGTAGTATCAATTCAAATGGCAATTAAAGTAAGGATTCTATGTGCTTTCTTCCAAACCAATAAATCGGCGAGATAAGCCGAAATGCTCGAAATTATTGCCACTTCTCAGTAACTAATGAAAAATTACGAATATAAGAACAAAAACTATGAATTGTTGAGATTGAAAAGTACTCGCACACCATCGCTTTTAATTACTAGGTCTACAATATCGGCGAATTCAGTCTTGCGTTATGAGATGATTTCACGGAACTAATGACGAATGTACTTGGCCAACTTTCTTTGTTTCTTCGTAAATTGTTCATTCGTGTAAGTAAAGTGGACGGTATTGGAACTTCCGAGTTTTCTGATAACCTCATATGAAAATAATTTTTTTAAAAACACGAATCTAAAAAAAAAACAAAGTAATAAAATAATCAACACGAACAACTTTGTTTTCATGAAACATAATTCTATTCTTTTATGTATCGTATTATTACTCTCGAAAAACGCGTTCCACTTGCTTGCTATATTTTATTATCTTCTCTTTTGTGTGCAATATTTTTATAAAATTTTATTTATTGGTGTAAATATAAAATTGTTAGCTGCAGATTAAAAAACGGAAAAACACAATTTAAGTGTAATTCATAACGTACCTTCGGAGTCCGATGTGTCCGACAGCGGAGGCTCATTGGCGATGTACTGGCGGCCGCTCAGCAAATTGTTCTCCACGACCGGCCGTTTGTCCTCCAGCTGCCTCCTAAAGCCACGATGGTCGTCCTGTAAAGGAGACGCGTAAATCGTGAAACAAAAATAACGAGACAAAGAGCATCGGTGTCTGGTGCAGTGCCAAGTTTTCTCTTGGCGTTTTTAGTTCTTCGCTGACGGGAAAGGCTTTGAGAAATTAGCCTCGATTCAATTAAATTCATACGTTTATTGTGACAAATAAGATAGAACGATGATAATATTACAACATTGATGAATATAGTTGATGATATCGTCATCGCCATTATTAGCTTTAGAAATGTTATTTAAAAGTTTCACTATCACATCAATTACTTTAAATAAGTAAAACAAATAAATATTATTAATTCAAATAAATTAGTATTATTAATTTAAATAACAATGCTCTCATATTATAAAGAAGATGTGTACCGTCAGACGCTGCTGCATTGCACTGCAGAGATATTAACGTGTACGTTCGTAATTACGTTTGACGGAGACGTTATGCAGCGGGGTTGGAAATTAGCCCGATGCAGCCAGCGAGAAGAAGTCGAGTGGGTAAAAAGGCACTCTTACAATATTGCACACCCGCTAGTTAACAAGATTATCTCTCGTTTCTTCACGGGGTTAAGGATTTTACCTCAACATCCGCGAGCAACACGCGGATCTTTTTCTGCGCGTCGAGGGATGCCCCAGATGGCATGTTCATGTCGTTTCCTTTTTTATGTTGCTATGAAGGGAAAATTCATAAGAAGAATAAAATCGTGAAGCAAAAAGATCGTCTTTAACTGTCACCGAATAAAGAATTTTTTTCATTTTTATGGTTATTTGTATATTTCGTTAACTTCATTCGACATTGATACTTTTATAACAATACAGTATAAATCAAACGATTTTTACGTCTTGATATTTTTCGTGTGATTTTTCTTTTTGATTTTTTAACATGGACATTGTGTCATTATTTATAAAAAAAATAGTTGCTTTTTGAAGAATAAAATAATTTCTTTAGAAAAGTGAGTCTATCTGTGTTTTTATAAATTGATTGAGAAAATAATAACATATAGTACATAAAATCAATTCAAAATAAATAAAAATATAGGTTACGTTATTATTTCCGATTTAATAATTATATCTTTAAAAGTAATATAAAACATATTATTCTCCTCTTTCTCTCTCTCTCTCTCTTTCTTTCTCACATATTCGCACACAATGACAATGTTTAGTGTCACATATATTTAATAATAATCGACAATTAGCGAACAAAAAATCTTGAAGATCTGATCAGTTAGAAGATAAAATACATTGCACATTATTAAATTATATTGTTAAATAAACCGATTACATTGTTCTACAAAATAGATTTCGCCACATGTCGGCCATTAATCATTTTTCGTCGTTATTTTCTTTCTCTCCCCATTTTGAAGAATGATGACGCAGCGAGCATGGAGTAATAGAAATCTCATATTGCGGTTATTCTTTATTTTTTCTTTCTTTCTTGTACAGATTTCTCTTCTAAAGCTTTTCTATTACAAATAGATCACGTATAAATCATACGAATGTATTGATTGCGATCGATAGATTTGAAAATTTTATAAAAAAACCACAACTGGATTAATTATGAATTTATATTCTCCTTGTAAATTACACGCATAGAAATTTACGCACAATACATACTTAACCGTGCGAGTCAAGATGTTAATTAAGAAATTAGAACAATTTAAAGCTATCCATCCACTTGGACAAATGAACATTTTCTAATTGTTTGCAGCTAGACAATTCTCTTATCAATGCGGTTATCATTACGAGAGGTTAATTACAAGATATATATACAACGGGAGGCAACAATGCGCTGATGCGTATCGCAGTAATATACGAGCATCTGACATTAACAATAAGAATCTTCATTTAACTGCTCCCAGCGGTTCGTATTGCGTATCTCACTGAGGAGATAAATTATTTCAGAACAATTTTTTAATATACAACTCTCCACGGAAAAGGAATGTTCTTTGTCTGCTATTTTACGTGCTCAGTACAAAAATAAATAAATAAAAAGTAATATTCATACAATAACTGATTTAATTATTTCATTGCAGAATTCTATTAAAAAGAGATTTCTTTTTCTATGTTTTACGTACATATTACGACAAATGATAAAATTATTTTAATTATAAATACACATTATACAGTTTTAAGGAGAAAGTAATCCTTCCATTTTTCACTCCTAAATCAAACGAATAACAAAAAAATTTACGATAATTATGTGATTAATTCTAAATGTGTCTTATTAAAACTTAAACTTAAAATCAAAAGCATGTCAATCGTCCAAATTAATTTTATTTCTTCGATGGAGGTAGACCTTCTTTTATTTACAATCCATCCATTATGGACAAATTCCGTATATAAGTCGCTACTATTACCCGTCAGAGAAACGTACGTTAAATATTTCACGAACCACGAACGTCGACGGACCTTTCCGTAAACAATCGAGGTAACGGCGCGATGAGAGGTTCGGACTCTCCACCAAGCCGAAAGAAACACACCGGCATAAATTCCAGAAGTTGACACTTGGCCAAAGTGCCCATCCGAAAAATAACCACCAAGCGCGACCGTCCTCGACGTGAAAAGCGAAAATTCCGACGGCAAGGCCGAAATAAAAATATCAATCGCTTCGTGCCGCGGATGTGTCGAGGAAAGATGGGCTCGGGGAAACGGTCGCGTACAATAGTACGAAAAATGCATGCTCATAACCGTGGACGTGTTTCGTCGCGAACCAGCAAAATCCATCGAATTCGCGCTGCGAATCGATACGCCTCTCAACGCCGGCCTCTCGACGTTACGTCGGCGGTTTTGATTTATCAGCCATATTCGCACGCGCGCAAAACGAATAAACGAACGAACGAACGAACGAACGAAATGACCTGCGTGCAAAAGGCGCGTATATGGAACGTTCGTCGTGGACGGTTCGTCGTCGGGACGTGCAACGATGCCGTTCGCAAACGTGCGCGGGAATCGATCCGCGCGCTTGTAGGCGAAATGGAATTTTCAGGACGACTCCCGTAAGAGGAATGGCTATTGCGCTCGTTACAGAGTTACATCGTCGGTTGCAACGGCGACTAAACCGTGCACGATCGGCTTTCATTTCGATTGCGTGGGAGCAATAAACGACCTTCTAATTACGCGTCGTTTCGACTTCGATGTTGAAGTGCCCCGGTAGTTTCGATTCCGATTGAAAAAATTCATTTTTTCTCCACCATTTCGTATGGAGAGTGATTTCTACAATTTTTCATTTGAAAATATTAGAAAGCAACGTTTTTCTGTAACTAAGAATCTTATTCATAATATTAAATAATAATTGTAAAGTTACAAGTAAAATTAAATTTTCATGACAACCTAGTGAACTTTTAAGCAAGCATTTACATGCAAAACTTGAAGAATTTTTAATATTATTTCGAAAAACATTTTAATAACACTATTCGTTATATTAAAATATCAATAAAATTGATATAGATAAAATTAAATTTTAACATCATAAATGTTTCATTATCGTTGTGCCAAGGAAAATACATGACTTTTATTTCTTTGATTTATTAATTACCTGTCATAGAAATAATTTTAGAGTTGTTTTAAGATAATATATCAATTCCAAGTGATTTTAGATTCGAAAGTAAATTGATTAATATTATTCAATCTATTTCAAATATTAAAATAATTCTTAGAAATAATGAAATCGCGCAGCTTCTTTTAAACATTAATAGCAACATATTAATTACCTACAAGTTTTATTATATCCGACATCTACCGTTAATGAGACAATTTATTTTATTCCACAAAAGAATATACATAAATAGAAGCTCAACATTCCTGGCATCATCAACAAATTTATTCAAAAAAAATGTTGTGTTTTCGAATGTCAAATACTAATTAAATTAACAACATATAATTAAAATTGCTCGGGGCGAAGTTCCCGAGTTTCGCATATAGATAGATTTAGGATTTTCACAGAATTATTTAGAATCACGTAACGCATATGCATGAAGGTAGAATTGATTAATTATTGGCGAATCATTTAAATTAAATTCGTACATAATCGATTACATTAACCGCATTTTCCCAATAGGTATGTGACAATTGATATATCAAATTTCAAACTGTAACAATAATCTCGCGACGACTTCGTCGACGATAATTGTAGAAATTCAATTCAATTATTTACTAATAAAGTTGAAGAAAGAAGTAGATACACACACACACACTAAAAAGACATGAGAAATGCCGAGGTAATAGTCTTAATTGGATTTACAGTAAAAGTCGGGACAAACAATTACGTCAAGAAATAATCGTTCGAAGACACCCCGTGTTGCTGTCTTCGAATTTAAATTCTGGTGCGAAGTGCAACCTGAAGGAACGTGTATAAATCCCGAGCGAGTAACAAAGACGATTGTAACATTATTGCGAATCTAAATCGACTCTTTAAAAGATGAGAAATATATTTCATAGTATTAATAATATTTTACAAAGATAATACATCACTGAATGAAGATATATTTGTTCATTTCATAATTTATTTTGATAGTAATATTTTTTGCAAATTTAATTATAACAATATTATGAGAAAATCAAAGAAATTTTTTTCTCCCCTATTTCACTCAATAAATGCAAAAATGTGCGTATAAAATATATTATCTCACTGGCTTTCATTGTGAAATAAATCAATACGATTTTTGTATTGAATTTCAAAGCGTATTTACGAGAGACGATATAAAGGCAATCAGATGAGTACGGTTGAGCACCTTACTCTTCCGCTTGAGTAATTAAGGATAATCGATGGCCATTTCCTGTATTCTCCGATGCGAGTGACAAATATATACAGAGATCTAGCCGCACGATGACATCAATGATCTGGTCGGGACACATGCGGCTTATCACCTCCGTACATACTCGGATATTACCTGTATCGGTGGTACAGGCGCTTCTCTATGCCGGCAACATGCGTGTTCTAATCTGGATTAATCCAAACTGGGTGTACCTTTGTAGATTATCGCGCAAAGGATATTCATGCAATTATATACCAAATTTCGGCCGCATTATACGAAGCAAATTCAATTTTTAAGAGAATACGCAATTAAAAATTAGAAGAGAACAATGAAAATAACTTAGAACAATGTACGTTAAAATAATGTTTTAAAACAATTCAAGTAATTCTCAAAATATATTCGTCGATTGTGTTATTAAAAGCAACATCTCGTTAAACAGCGGTAAAAATCTTTTAAAATAGATAATATATTTTTATCACAAGAATTTAATAAATCGGAAATTTAATCAGCAGCGAATTTAATTGAAGCATTTAGCGCACAATTGACGTACGAGCAATGACGTAATTGAAGCTCACGTTTCCATGAGGCGGAACACTCAAACGTGATGAGAATACGTAAATATCCGTATTCCGGATGAGCTGTCGTCTGTCGTAGAGACACAGTTGAAGAACACCCGCCTGATAGCGCACGAATTTATACGTAATTATATTCTATTCGACCAATCAGTTTGAGAGGAGGGAACTTACAAGCCTCTCGGAGGACGACTATATGAAATGAAATCGATTTTAGGTACATAAGTCATGTCCAAGTAACTTGGCTCGAGTCCTGAAGTTTCGGGATTGATGCTATTGCCGCGAATCAAAGGATGTTAAATGGGGTATGCCCGTCTACCGAAGATAACGGATAAATGCTGACTAAAGTACGTCTACAGATTTTGTACGGACTCAGTTCGATGAAGCGGAACCCAAGTAATCTATGCGCGAAACAGCATTCGACGATTTACCTGTTGTTTTTGTAGTGCAGCCACATCGCCGCAAACGGGTCCCAGGCCAGTGAGCTCTGTGTCTTTCCTTATCACCCATTCGATAAGTTCGCGCAATGATAGCAGTAAAGCATTCCAATGTTCTGTGTTGCTCTCCAATCGATTTCTGCACAGAAAAAAACATGCACACTATGTACACTCCATATCTATATTGGATTTTAAAATATATTCATTAGTTGAATATTACTCTCTATTTTATATTTAATATACATTAATTTTTTTATCTCGTTTACATATAAATATATAATATATTATATAAATACGAAGTATTTGTATTAATCCAGAGACCACATAACGAGTTAGATTCGTTACAGCTTCCTGCGATGCAATGGATAGTTTTTAAAAATAATTTAATAAATTGTTATTTATTGAAAGTTATTTGTATTTATGTTACTTGTTAAAAAAATATTATATTATATTTTATAAAAAGGTATTTTGAATTTTGTCTATTAATATCATATTTATTTTCTAAATGTCGAATCCAAAAAGCAGCATTTATTGATTATATGTTGATTAAGTACATAATTGAACTTATTTCTTAAGATGTATTTGTTTACTATTAACAATATATGTAAGAAATAGCATTCAATTAAATTAATAAAGTTTATTCGAAGCAGAGACCAAATCGTTTGAATTGAAACCGAAAATTGTTTCGTAATCCTTTTTTTCGGTGAACCAAAAAAACCACCTTTTATAAAATTTATAATACCGAAATTGTAACCGAACTAATAAAATTATTTTCGGTTTATGATTTTTTTCGGATCTTTTTCCAATTCTTAATTTAACATAGATCTGTTCCTTATAGCTGAGCTAATTGCATTAGTTTAGAGTTTATCTTTCTCCTTTCACATCGAAAGAAGAAAAATACATTTTTTGAGTTTTATAAATGCAATCAGCGCATAGATATGTGAGAAACTAATTGAACGGATGAACACTCTCTTTCTCTCTCCTCTCTCTGTCTTTCCCTCCATTTTATTTTTCTTGTTCGCTCGCTCATATTATCACAAGTGTGATTAAAATCTTTGCACATGTGTACATATATAAAACATTGTATTAAATAAATAATATATTTTTAAATTTATTTCTCTCTTTACATACATATACAATTTAATGGAATAAATATAGAAAAAAAAAATAATTTGAAATTTTAAACTCCTCTTCTATCACATGAGTAACTATAACTGGAGAAAATTGTTAAGAAACCGTAATTTTTACGGCTTCAATTTTCCTTACAAATAAAAAAACTGAAACCAGTAAAAACTTATTCGATTAAATCATAACTGGAACCAAACTAAAAAAAATCTTTCGGATCCAAAGTATTAAAAAACTGAAAGAACATAAAAATGTGAGCGTTATACTTACATGGAAAGAACGATTTTGCAGAAGTATCTAAAAATTTAAATATAGATAAATTTTTTAAATACTTTTTAGCAAAATCGTTCTTTCCGTGTAATATTTCCGGAATGTTACAATGTCACATTCTTGTCAATTTAAAAAGTTTATTTTTTAAGCCACATTTATACTTTTATATTTATATTTTTAATAAATACTCAGAAATTTTTACTCAAATTTTATCATTTTTCAGCTTTACAAATGATGAAAATAAATGCTGTTCTCTGGTCTCGACATTCGGAAATAAAGTCTCAACTGGTTAAAAGAGCTTTTCTGTTAAATGTATAGCAAACGTCGATACATCGAATTTTAGAATTGGTTGAAAATAATAAAATAACATAAAATTATATACATTAAAAAAATTTACGAAATTTTAATAAATATTTGTTTAGATAGTACCTACTAATGAGACATTTGCAATAAAAGACACTTAATAAATATTTATTAAAATTCATAAAATTTTTTTCAGTGTAAACTTGCATTGAGAAGATAGAAGTAATTATATGTTAACTTTTAATTAAAAACAGCTCTAAAATTATACACATAATTTTATGACTTAAATAAGATGGTACAATTACGAAATGGTATGGAAGAGAGAAACAAAATAAAATCCGCCTTTCGAAGTTTAAGTTTTTTTTTCCTGCTTGGTACCCTCCAATATCCTCACAGAGACAGTACCTATCACAGTTATCAAATTTAAACCTCGAAAACTAGATTATTTTATTTCATTCCAAATTATTCGAAATTGTTCTACCTTACCTTATAAGCTATAAACATTATATTCCAATAATATAGTTGTTTATATTCAAAATATAAATATAATCTATAATGAGAATATCGAAATATTTTACATCAAAATGTTTTACATTAAAAAGGTTTATAAAACATTCTTACACGTCCAAAGGATGGATTACATCCTCTCGACGCGACGCACTGATAGATATTCACCACACAGCATAAGCAGCGAAAAAAACGCATAAAATGTTCGACTCGTTGTAAAAGAGAGTACATATTTGTTAGGGACAGACAGGTAAAGTCGTCGACAGGAAAGGAGAATGAGAAAAAAGGATTGTAAAGCAAAGCGGCGCGCATGGAGTGGATGAAAGGAGAGTAAATGTAAAGTCTTGATGTTGCTGATGCCAAGTGAAACATCGGGCGATGAGTGAAAAAAGAGAAACGAAACGGCGACGCGAAGTACAGATAGAAAAGGGAAAATAAGATAGATACTTAAGATAAGTAGATCAAGATTAGATTGGAAAAAATAACGCGAAATGTAACGCGTCTCAATATGACAGAATGATAAAAAAAGATAACAATTCAGAAAAATGTAAATTGAAGAACAGAAATTTTAAGAAACGTGAAAAGAGAGATGGAATGTATACTGCAGATAAAATGTAATTCGAGTAAAACGAGTAAATATGGAAAGCAAAAGAGCCCTGAGAAAATTAAAATGGACGAGCATTTCGAACGACGACGCGCGACGCGGCAAATAAATCGTGCGCCGCCGATGGAAAGCGACTGGGAAAAAGAAAGGCCGGTGGTAAAGCCAATCGTGGACAAGAAGGAAAACGATCTCAGACAAATAGGAAAAATAGGAAAAATACGAAAAAAGCAGCGCGAACGATGACATTATAAAGCGCTCGTATACAAACGGATCTCGAAAGAAGACGATAATGAGGATAATAAGAAGAGATTCGAGTGAAAAGAAATAATAAAAAATAGAAGCTTGAAAACGACGAGATCAAGAAATGCGAATGAATAGAGAGTGATCCTTGATAAGTGCGATTAAGAATGCTTTGTCAGAATAAAGTTGGTTAAGACAAAGAGGCAACCGGATTAAACGACAGAGTAATTTTAGATTAAAAAAAAGCTCAAGAGCGTTAAAAAAAAAAGGTCTGATCATAGATGTCTTAAGAAAGAAAAAGAGGAAGAAGCTATATTGTATATAGCGATATTTGAGGTAGAAAATTATTTATAAACATAAACACGCGTGGAATGCAACAGATAGATAAAATCGACAAACACGAATGTAGAATAAATATTGAAGGACGTGCATAACACGCCTGTTTTGTTAATAGTAAGTAAATACTACTGGACGGAAGCACCGGAAACGTAAAACAAAACGAAAGACCAGTGGGAAATCACTGGAAGACGTGGGAACGCGAGAGACTGGATACAAAAGAGACGTCCTCAAGAAGAATGAGGACTCGTGACAGGCACCGCTGGGAGAAAGAAACGGAAGCAAAAGATGTTAGAGCAAGGCAAGGGACGGGACAGATAAGCAGGATAAGTCGGAAGAAAAGAATTAGTCCGAGGAGATGATCTCGCAGATATACGAGATAATGGTCTCGCAGGTCCATGCACGTACAGGTCATATCTATATGACATAACATAACGTGACATAACATCTGCAGAACATAGCAAAAGAAATAACAGACAAGCTCTTATCTTGTCACGGTATTAAAAATTTGTGAAGTAAGCAGTTTAATTCTTGGCTCTTTTATTATATAGTGTAAAAAAGACTTGACGTTATCGGATTGATATACGATTTAACTTTAATTTCCTAATGATAACTCTCTCTCTCTCTCTCTAATTCTTATTTTAAAAACTTTCAAGAATTTCAATTTACTATGCGTGTTATTTCTTCAACAATTCAATAAAAAGTTGCAGCACAATATAAAGATAATTTATAAAGAACCTAACGAAGAATAAAAAAAAATTCCTATAAATTCCGGAATTCCTTTTTATACAGTAATATAAAGATCAAATATGAAATATAAAAGTGTAAATATAGAAAAATGTAGAATGCGTCTGCAGGAACGAAAAACAAAAATAATAAAAATAAGTAACGCTCGCTAAGCTGAATTTCTTTTTATTTCATTTCTTGTTTAACTCGTCGCCCATTATCTTGTCGGAACGACTCGTGCGCGGATGGAATCCAAAGTGGCCTGAGAATAAAGAAGCGTAAGGCGAATTAAAGCGGAAGACAGAGACCCGAGAGACGAGAGCAGCATAAAGAGATAGGAAGCGCGAAGAAGGCCAGGAACTGAATGCCGCAAGAGAAATTCTCGGATAAAGAGCGCCGGCCGCCAGGACAACGAAGCACCGTCGCCGGTGCCGGAGGTCGCGAAATAGACGAAAGAGGAAGATAAAGGAGGCTGGTGGGCGAAAGGAGGGCAGGAAGGATGGCGGTTGGGATTTAGATTTATATTTCGCCATTGTTGCACCACCACCGGTGGCGGCACCCACTTACTAGGTCACATTCAACAATTCCCATCGTCTTATTCCCTCCCCCCCCCTCCCTCTCCGAATGTTCCATATCGTCGTCGTCGTCGTCATCGTCGTCGTTCTCGTATCGCAAAGAAACAGCCTCGCGTCTGGATATATCGCGGTTATTGTAACGTCGATGAGAGCCGCGCGGAATTTCGCGTACTTTTGCGATTTGAGCGCGCATACAGGCGCACGTACGCGTATGTATACAGGGCTACAACACGTCACGATATTGCACCCACCTTCTCCCAGGGAGATAAGGGCGCGAGGATATTTTGCGCGATGGATGGCGGTACGGAGTTACCGGAAGAAATCGTCCTCATTGCTCCGACGAATCGTGGGAATAAACTTTTCTCGCTCCACGTAGCCGCTATATGGCGGCGACTGATGCTCGCTCGAAAAATTTATTCCACGCTATGAGAGAAAAGGATTGATCTGCGAGAC